TACGGTAATGGGATCTCTATTACCGACAAGCTCAGGAGGGAAAGTCGAATGAAAAGGGACGAGACAACATGATGAACTATGCAACGATGATCTGCCGTCTCAGGAGGGAGACATGAAGGTGGCAGTCGCGTCTCTATGAACGCGATACCTGTATTAGCGATTCCTGCCATCGGGCACTGCCTGGTGTATGTGGCAACAGCAACGGTGCGAGGTGACATCACATCAATACGCTTAAGGATTGATGATGTACCCATCCATGTGGTACCATATAGGCACCTCCTCCACCGATCATGTTGTTGGTGATACTACTCGACAGGTGATGAGAAGTATGATAGTCGTTGGTATAACCATGACACACATCACAACAGCTTAGGCCGGCACCAGAACAAGTACCCTTTGAGTAAAGTTCCCCCTCCTCTGACCAACAACAAGGAGCATTCCAGAGGCCGATGGCCATGGGGTGGTACCTCAATGCGTGGCGACCCTTGATCCTCGGTGGTAGAGTGGGGGCTAGATCTTAGTGACTTCCATGTCTGAGGGCCAACTAGAGTATTGGATGGTGGTAGGGGTGCCCCCGGGGAGCATCCATCATAGGCAGCATCGTACGAGGGTAAGCATGCATCGATCGACAAAGTGGACGATGAGGCGTCACAGCTCGGGTACAATACGCCCAATCTAAAGAGTCCGTTAAGGGTCACCTGCATAACTTTGCACCGACAGCTCAAATGGACGTGAAATTTTACTGCCTATCTAGGTAAAGTGCTCATAGGGTAATGGTGTCTCCTCCTCCTCCTCCTCCTCCTCCTCTTCTTCTTCTTCTTCTTCTTCTTCTTCTTCTTCTTCTTCTTCTTCTTCTCCTTCACTACGGTTAGTCGGTGATAATCTATTCCGTTAACGTCAAGTGAAACTCGCTAGTAATGGCCATTTCGGAAGGTTATCGCACTCCCTCCCATCACCATTACTCGTTCCCCTCTGCTTCATGGGTCCTAGAACGATTGCTCAGGCTTGATACCAATACAAGCCGATACCGACGCTCCATACCTTTAGAAGGATCTCTAACATGATCAAGCGTATAGTGCCAAGCCTACTACCATGTAGACGGTCTATGCATGACCCTACTTTACATGTGTAGTAACAGTGAGAGAGAGCCTCCCTGATACCCACCCCCTATTACCTATTGGTATAGATGATACCTCACCATCCTCCCCTCATTAGTAATAGCAGGACTACTTACACGAGACAATACGACCTCCCAAGGCATGTAGTACGTTCAAGGAGGCCTAGCACCTACACCTAACGAACCGATCATCTGGGCGTGCCCGGCCGGGTACTACGACATAGTTATGAGAGTTCATCATCATCATTTCAACGACCCTTAGATTGTTGAAAATTATTATTACGTTAGTATGTCCTCCTCCTCGTGTGCTGGTCCATCTAAATTGAATGAACAATGGGATGATAGCGATTCTGATGATGATTGGGAGGCTGCCGATGCCGGTCTAGATGATATCGAACTGAATAATAATAAGGAGGCTGCAGCTGAGAAGGCTTTAGCAGCCACCACCGCACCACAGGTAGTAATATATAACCCAGGGGGGAGGGTGATGTCTTTATAATGCTAGTAGGTTGCTACCACCGTCAAGAAGTCAGCCAGCAAGCAGCAAAAACAGGGCGATAAGGGTAATACACGATGAAGGGTCATCATAGCCTTCGCAGTGGTGATACTAGGTAGTGGTACAAAGGTTACTTCCACAACTAAGGAGTTTGATGCTGATGATATGCCTCTCGATGATCCTATAGCTGAGAAGGCTCGTCAACAGCGAATGGTAGTAGTAGTATTAGGATACTATACCTTTCAGAAATCTTTTTGGCGGATTAGGCTATCAATTCAGCTGATAAGGAAGTCACCTTCGCGGACAGGGACATCAATTTAGCGATGAAGGTTGAATAGGGAAATCAATTTCGCGAATAAAGACATCAATTTCATGATTAAGGAATGCAACTTCACAAGCAAGGACACCAATTTCGGGTTAGAGCTCTGATGAACACAGAAGAATCTTCGTGCTGCTAGAATTGACAGATAATGTGTAAACGAATCCTTTACGCTGCGCAGAAGCATCTTTCCCGAAGATACTTCTGGAAAGATGTTGCCCAGCTTGTCATCTGTAGTGTTTCTCTCTCCGAGAGAGAAACACTGCGTGCCGTGTCGTGCTTATTTCGGGCGATTCAGTTCTGACGTTGAGATTTTTTATATATTTCTATGTCAGTCATGGCATGCCGAATAGTTGCAATTAACTATTAATATGGTTTCTGAGCCTCGTGTGGGGTTGCGCTATCATCCAGGAATGGCTTATAGAGCTGCACATCGTAAATCGTCATCATCAGAGCTCCTACCCTAAATTGATGTCCTTGCTCGTGAAGTTGCATTCCTTAATCATGAAATTGATGTTTTTATTCGCGAAATTGATTTCCCTATTCAACCTTCATCGCTAAATTGATGTCCCTGTTCGCGAAGGTGACTTCCTTATCAGCTGAATTGATAGCCTAATCCGCCAAAAAGATTTCTGAAAGGTATAGATGATGGGGTATGCTGTAGATAGAGAAGGCCGATATGGAGAATATTTGTGATATGTTTGGTGTATCTACCCCCAATGATGCTAGTAATAGTGATCTCACTGATTATCATCATCGTCGTGATGGTAGTTATTAGTTGTATAGGTAGTGGTTGTGAAGATCAACAACAACACGTGAAGATACGTGAGACTACTACTGTTGTGGAGAAGGATTCATTCGAGGAATTACAGTTGAAGACGTTGAAGGACGTTGAACAGCTTAGTGAACGGTAATATTGGTGATAGCATCGCAGTAGTGATTATGACTGATAGCTACTGCTGCCCTTGTTGTAGATGTGTTGGCAAATTAAATGATTGCCGTACTAAAGCAGCAGTATTCAACTTTATGCGAGATACCCTTAGAGGGATTGAAGAGAAGTTGGACCAGGATGAGTGTACCAAGCTTATTAAGGAGTTACAAGCATTGGTTACATCAAAGAAGCAAGAGAAGGTACTCACTCAGGCTACGGCGGCCGATAGTGGTAAGCTACTATGGTGTGTAGGCTGAGAAGGATAGGAACCGTAAGAAACAGGCTACTGATGTATCACAAATGAAGAAGGGTGCCAAGGTTGATTATCAAGCCGAGATAGATATGATGTAGATAGCACCTATCTTAGGGTTAGTAGAAGGAGTCTATATTAGGTACGGGGATGATGGTTATGGTGAATATGATGATGAGTATGATGACTATGCCGACTTCCTCTGATCATCACCAACTACTACCCTCTTACGTCCTTCTATACATTTCGTGTAACTCACCACCATTCGTACGTCTTACGCACCCTATAGCAGTATGATCCTAATGCTCATCATTATACTGCCTGCCTACTACTGCTTGCAATCATAATAGCCTTTTCTTCCACGCAATGACTGCTCCATCACTAGCGTTATAGTCATCTTATTATCTATAACTCTCATAGAGCATTTATTACTCTATCGAGTATGGCCGTAGAAGGTGATAAGAAAGCCACACGTCGGAGTACTATCCCCCTACTCCTATTAATTATCGGTAAGCCATACTCCTCATTCTCCTACCGCACCTTTATCATCTTTGTTGTAGTATCGGCAGTGGTGATATACACCTATAACCCATGTGATGCTCCAGCAAATATGAGGAAGGATTGTGGTTGGTCAGGTAGTTGTTGACCTCTCCCCATGTGGTGTGATACTATCTATCAGGCATTAGCCGTGCTAGATGTATACAAACTGGTAAGTTGGAGTTGCCCAATTATGAAGGTATCAAGGAAGTATCCATGTAATGCATCATGCTATAACATAGTATTATGGGTGTAGCTGTACAACAGGTATGCACTAGTGGCTCTCATCGGTAGTACGGTCTTACATTATTTATCTGGTTTTCCGAGGACATCCCTCCTCTTGTAATACCACTCTGATTATGAGAATCAGCATCATCATGTAGTTACCATGCCCTTGCCCTTTATGTGGTGCATCATATCACGAGATGTTGTTATGATGGTTATGTTACTGGTAATGTACCACATTGCTATACAACATGATGATAATAAAGAGCGGCATCTACTGACCTTCTTCATAGGTCCATCGACCGTTTCTTTTCTATTGTAGCTTGACATCACCTTTTCTGCCAATAGACTTCTAACGGATCTAGATGCTATGTCATTGCAGCTCCGAGCTGTTGATATGGCGTCATGTGATGTGGGAATGAGGAAGGAGTTGTGCGATAGAAATCATACATGAGCACTTTGAAGGAGATTGTTGACAGGATCACTTTTATCTTACTGAATATTATTGTTGTGTTGTGTAATCATCAACATCAGGCATCATTCCTATTCCGTGTATGTCATCGACAGCAATAATAGAAGGGGAATGCAGCACAAACGAGGAGGATGTTTTAAAAGATGTGGAGTAAACTAAGTTCTAATACTATCATTGATGTTAATAACAACCTCCACATCAGTTATATTATGCGACACTATTCTGGTTACTTCCATCAGATGGAGATAACTAACCGCGAGAAGGATAGTGTCACCTTCCGCTTGGTACTGTTGGCTAGATATACCATCATCGTCAATGCTACTATTGGGCTTCAGATACCCAATGATGATAAAACTCGAGAGCTCATAGTAGTACTCAATCGATCTCACTTCATATTGGAGGGGGACTCGTCGACTAAACCTAATCATGAACTGCTCATTGGGCGAAGGTATGTCCTCTGTCGGGTTGTTATGTTTGTAGGACTTGGTAGGTTTGAGACGATCGAACAGTTATTGTCAGCTGTAATGGGAGCACATCACTTTGGACAGATGTTGAATTCACTATTGGTGACTCGTTTAGAAAGCCTTGAGAGCTCACCACGGAGTGATAATCACTGTCGATGACTCTACGTCTTCACTGCAATAAGTGCCATCATCGTATGGTATTATATCACTCAGTGCAGTACTGTCGTTGTATACAAAGTGGAAGGCTAAATTAGTGGGCATCGTCCATCTCGGCATGGAAGGATACCTGCTCTCTTGACAAAGTCATGAATCTAGTACAACCCAACTCCCTCACAATTATGATGGGAACACATCATATATAGTATCCAACAAACGTTGTATACCTGTAGGTCTATCACAGACCTTAAGCTTAGGCAGAATATGTCTCAAACTACTAAATGTAGTCTCTAGCAGCTCCTCAGAGCCGCCACTGGGCGCAACGAGTGCATACAGCCTCATTGCATTTGCCAGCTCATCTTGGTGGTTGCCCATCAATGCATCATTACAAACGACACAGGGGATGGGCTGCGTTTTATCATTCCTCTCCCGTTACATATGTAACACGATGGCACTATGATATGAACTGTAGCAGCGTATCACCCTCAAGGTTTTCACTATACTACCAGCTCCCGAATGTCGAATACCAAGTCGGCGTGTTTGATATCGGCTATCATACCTGTTGTCCTATCATGCTCATCAAACTCGTATTCCCGATCACACTACGTTCGGGATTCAATGAATTCCCAGTTACAGTGATACCATCAACAACTCCTTGCTTGGCCCTCTCGAGTGCACCTTCAGAGTATCAGCGTAGAAAGTGTTACCGTATCGGAGGAGCACCTCTCTAGTGCCGAGTTGGTCATACAGAAACTCAAGAAATCTCATTTAGCATACACGTTGTACGAGTGGATCGAACTTGGTCGTACCAACTGTAACAAACACTCGAGTACACGGGCTGTCTATTAGGGGAAAAGGAGGAAGACAAAACTAGGGAGATTCTGGGAAGGGAGGGCCGCAACAACAACCTCGAGAGAGAGAAGACCATACTTGGTATATCACTACTATCAATATCAATTATAGAATGATAGTACATCTATGGTAATCCGTAGTAGCGGATACGATGTGCCCGACTGCCCGTTGGTGGTCTAGCTTCTGAATTGCTCCTCCGAGAACTACAGCATTTCCCGATCATGTTTCCGACCCCCGCACTATTAAATTATCTCTGGCCAACCGCATGGGAATATCCGACCCGTCATGATTATTTCCGACCCGCACACATTTATCCGATTCGACGGTCACGTGCAATATCCGATACACCACATGTAAATTTCCGAGTAGCGTCATCCTAATACCCGCTTCCTTCGTGCATCTCAAATATCCGACTGTCATTGTAATGACAGTTGTAACTCGTAAGGTTGTGGTCACATTGTAGTGACCAGGAAATAGAAAACTGACTCCGAACATACCCACTAGTACTGGCATATTAGGGCCATTGGTACACATATGGAGTGTAGACCTGTATCACGACCATCGGGGGACTTCGTCCATCCACCGGAAGATGTGCGACTCATTTTGCATGCCTACTGAATGAGAGTATGAAGAAATCTACTCCAGGGACCAAACAAGTGGTGCACAGCATCAGAATCGGCGGCGGCGGCCGATGGTGGTGGTGCACCCTAGCACCATTATGATCGGAGCTGTGATTTGACTCTGCTGTTGATGAGGTTATGTGGCAAAGGTGATGATAGCATATAACGGTGAGCATGATATGACGTCCGCTCTGTGTTAGAGTGGGTAGGATGTGTTGTGATGATACAGTGACTGAGGACTGAACGCCACATAGAGTGTTGATCATAATCATCATCATTAACACACTTTATCAAAATCACTACCATCATAATAATGTGCCGAGTCACTGGGATAAGCAATAGCATGATGTAGTCATGGTCGACTATGCAGTAGTATAAGTGTAGATAGACTGCAAACTACACTAATTCCATAATGCTCAGCAGCAGCAGCAGTAGTAGTAGCAGGAGCCTCCTTAAAAGACAGCTAATAGTAAATACAAAATGTAATACTAATAGAGAGTATATCCATAAGTAGCAATAACAATGTTGTTGTATCATATACTACCAAATACTCTAGCTGTGATTGAATTTATAAAGTAGGAAGAAGATGATGACTTCTTCTTCATCATCATGATGATGATGAGCATCCTAATTATTACCAGTCAGTGAAAGGATCAGCAGCAGCCGGGACGGATGGTGGTAACTCAGTTGACTCAGGGATATCCTAACGATGTGTATTGGTGGTTATAATATATGGTCATACTCACCTCATAATTACTAATGTCGTTAGCATCTTTCATATCCGGCTTATATGGTGCTGGTATCTCCTTACGCAGTAGTGCATCCCAGTCAATGCTCGCAAACCTAATGCTAAATATCAAGCATACCATCTACCAGACCAATACCATTTATGCTTCTTGATATCATCAGCACCATTCTTGAGGTTGCCGTACCTCTTGGAGAGGTCTGCAGTGAGGATCTTCTTCACTAATCCTGATATACTAAGCTGTAACGACGCAGTAGGCTTACTCCCTACCCTTAGCATTCTTATCGAAGTACTTAGGGAAGTAGATTTTGCCAGCTAGTATCTTCTGATAGATGCCCATTGGTTCCTCATCACAGAAGGGTGGCTGTCCAACAATCATCTCATATATGAGTACCTGAATAGTAGTCACCTTACAATGGGAGGTCTCAACCATGACTACTACCCCAAGAGTCCACCAGTCCACAGGTTTGCCATGTCCCTTATTCAACAACACTTCTGGTGCTATGTACTCTGGAGTGCCACATAGAGTATAGGTTCGGGCACCAGGCTCGATTATCTAAAGACAATAGAGAGGAGTGTACGGGATAAACTTATGTTAAGGGATGACCTTAGCAAATCCAAAGTCGGTGAGCTTGCTGTATCCATCACCACATAAAAGGATGTTCTCTGGTTTCTGAAATATCATCATATCCGTACATCATCAGTACTCTATATTAATACCAAATCCCTATGGATGATATTCTTGCCATGCATGTAGTCAAAAGCAGCAGCTATCTGTGCAGCATAGAACTTAGACTGCTCATCAGTGAACTTCCTAGCCCGTCGTAAATGAGTAAATAGCTCACCTAAGCGTGAGGATTACCTCTGATGATGCTAGTATTGGTAGTAGGTTGGGTATTACCTCCATTGACGACTTCCATCACGATATAAACGAATCTAGTGTCCTTGAATGATCCCCGCATATTGACTATAAAAGGATGATTGAGTTGATTAAGGAGGTTACGCTCAGCGTTGATGTGATCAACTGAACAACATCAACAGCAGCTATTACTCTACTGCTACCTCCCTGCTTGGACACTACCTTGTTTCAGCTTTAGTATCTCGTGCTTCTTCATGAACTTGACAGCGTAATGTTGTCCATCACCCTTATACTTGGCATACTTCACTCTACCGAAACTCCCTGTCCCCAGAGTACGGATAAAGTAGAAATCATCCAGATTCATTTTGCTGCTGCTAGGCATTTTGATAAGTAATCTTATCACCAATAAGAAGGACTGCTAATACCGCACTGTATAAATGTTCCATCCTTCGAAAGGCATTAGAATAGATGACAGAGAGTAGCGAGACAGGACAAGGTAGCAAGAAGAGACGCCGACCACGTGTCTCAAGGTGCGGCGGGGGGCCGTCACACAACAAGATGTTAACACAGCGTGAATGCCTCTCCAATAGCTATTCTTGAATCGTAATGATATTATATTCAACAGCTAGGATGTTCCACCTAGCTTACTCATCATTGCCCATACCAATCACCACCACGACGACGACCATGGTTGGAAAGTGTATCCGTTTCGAGCGGCTCCTCCTCCTTTGTGGCGGGCGAGCTATGATGAGCACGTGACGTGAAGATACACGGCGTCGTCGTCGTGTGGGGATATGGTGATTGTGTTGCTCATTACGGTTTTCCTGTGAGATACCTGATGAATTACTTGAGGCATAGATGGTGGAGTTTTATAATATTTCATAAACCTTGAGATATAATAGCTACTGAGTAGCTACTATTTGTATACTACTTTCACAGGATTGTATTTTAATTGTCCCTATTGGCAGGCATCAGCAGCTATCGCTCAGCTACAGATTACCCTATTCTGACTGTCATTGGATATCATCATCATCATGTCGCAGTATATAAGGTTCTCTGGTGACGACTTAAAGGTTTTTGAGGCGGAGATATTGTATCGTGCCAAGATTATAATATCACGGTCAAGCTCTCGTGATGCAGTAGCAGCGAGAGGTCAAGCATTTGATGATGTGGCCAGTGAGCTTCGTAAGGCTAATGGTGATGTATTTCGGACACCTAAACAAGTGAGGACTAAATGGGCATCAACAAGGCAAAAGATAATGACCTACTACAAGACGGGTAAGCTACCACAATCTAAGTGTGAGGCTGAGATGGTACGTAATATGGCTGAGAGTTTGAGATCCTTATTGGAGCAACCACAGGCTATAAGCGACTCTACTAGTACTACAGCTGCTTCATCGTCGAGTGCATCTCCACCATCGGTTATTGGAGGATATATCCCATCTTCGTCCTCTACTAATTCGAATATGCATCGCATTAATATATGCCGTGTTGCTACTACTACTGGCCCTGTACCTCAGGCATCGCGGAGTTCCTCTCGATCAGCATCTATTATGGCAACTGATCAGTATAACTCTGGTGTACACGATACTACTATGGCGGCTCCTATCACTCTTCAATCATCATCACCTGATCATTATCACGATGGTAGCAGCCTTGTGGAGGATGCGGGTCCAGTCGGTGTTGGTAAGAATAGCAGGCGACGACAACGGCAGCAACATCCAGATGAGTCTCCCCCTGGGCAAGCTGTACTACCAGCTAATAAAGTGAGGAGGTTTAATACTCTTGGCAACACATGTGGTGCTGCTACTAATGCCAAATCTGGCATGACCACAACACCTCCGACTGATGCTAATAGTAATAATCGTCGGCCTTATGATAACTATGGACGTGCCGCCGCCATTCATCGACAATGACCATTAAGTAGTTCATATTGTTATCATTAGTACTGTTGTTGTAATATATTATAATTATCCTCATCTACCATTGTAGTATCATAATAGTCCCGATCCTGCTTTTCTCCAATTATTACTACTTGGTGTGGTCAAACCATAATAAAGTGGTCAATGGGGAGTGTAGTTGGGTAGAGACAGTGAGTACTGGTGCCAACACTAACAGCAGCAGCATTATTGTTGTTATTGATATTGCAACTAAAACGGAGTGCAATGTCCCAATTTATATTGCTCTCATTGTTGTTGCTCATATACTCCCTTGCATAGACTATTATCGTCAACTGTCAGTAACAATGCACCATTATTATTATGAATTGATGATACAACATCCCACTCCATAACAATCTGTAATTGGTATTAACCCATCCAACTACTGTGTTGTTGAGTTGGGGAGAGAGGTACTGTGTATGCTGCTATATTCGGTATGAGTTATACGTAACATTAAGCTCTACTACTCTCAACAACAACAACAAGCATAGTAGTATGCATCAACATGAAGCCTGAATTAAGCGTGTTGTTGTGATGGGACTATCAATGAATATAGGTATCCTCATTGGGATTGTAGCCCACTCTCTAATGGCTCAAGACCCTCTTCATTCTAATACGACTATACAAGACTATCATGATGATGATGGAGGGAAGAGGAATGGAGGAAAGCGACATAGCTCTGGGAGCACTGCCGTGTATGATGATGATGATTATCATGCTACAAAGTACTTGGAGAGTATTGGTGTTACACCCACAGTTGGTCGTAAGATGATGCTCATTCAGCAGTGGCAGTACCATGGTAGCAATTCCCATCATCATAGGATAAGACTACAGGAAGGAGGAGGGGGAGGAGGTCGTAACAATAACAGTATGATAGAATCATCACCTTTGAACCACAGCAAGGGCTCACGAGAAGAGTCATATTCTCATAGGACCACGCCTGTTGGATCATCCCCGGCCATTGTGGTGGACGAGGCATCGTCGATACCTCCCCTCCTTATGTCTCATGCATCACCATCATCAATACTACCACCTAGTGTATGGATACATCATCATCATACTACTACTACCAAGATAGTATCTGAATGCTTCAGTAAGGAAGGAGATAAAGACCCCAATAAGGAGGGTAGTCATGATGGCAATAACGAGGTTACATTTCCAATCGGGCACGGCATACTACACGAGTTGGAGTATCTCCGACAACAGCAAGGAGGTAGGAGTACAGTGTATCATGCTGCTGACGATGCCATACAACTCCCTGAGACTACACCACACTTACACCATTCTCATGATGGTGATGATGAGGCTGGACCTATGAGGCATACTACTACTGATAATGATGATGATGATGCCGAAGTGCACCGTCTCGCGAGTAGATTTATATGGCCTTTTGCTTACTTTGGGGATCCCTCAGCATCAGCCTCAGGTCATGATAGGTTGGTAAGGCAGGAATATGTCTGGGGAAGATACAGTGGTAGTAGTACTGATATGATGATTACGATGGAGGGTGATATAGATCCTATAGTATTGAATAATATCGTAAGGAGCAAGTCTATAGATATCACCATTCCTACAATACAAGACTTCATTATGAATTACGTAGCCAATACTTACCCTATACAGCTACTACTCGATGCCCGCAATACACGACTACCACACATCGATGATAAGGAGGCTCCCATTCGACCGGTATCACAGTTCCATAGGATATGTAAGGAATGTAAGCTACCTAGGTTAGCCGGTCTCCTAGCCCATCTAGCTTACTGGCTCATGTTTGGCACTACTACTACCACTGCTTGCTCTGGTAGTAACACGAACAGTAGCGGCTACTACCATCATAGTCCTACTACTACTCGAGAGGATGAGCTCTATCATCATGCTGCTCTCCCTAAACCCTACCGTCATAGACTAGTTATGACTATACTCCAACTATGGTCTCAAATGGTATCCACTTTACCTAAGATATGCAGTAGTAATAATAGAGGGCATTGCAGTCGAGGAGCATCTTATTGGCTACCACGGTGTGTCCTATTACTAAAGGTATGCGTGAGATGGATAATACTAGAATATGAATATCCAGACTTATTGAGAACGTGTAGTGAAATAGAAGGTAAAGTGGATGTAAGAATTAATGCTATGTTCAAGCAACTATTCGATCCTGACATGAGCCTATCAAGATTCCCATGCTTGGAGAGGTCGCCATCCAATAGGATCCAGTTCCATAAAGATATGATACGTATGGCAGAGGAGGCAGATATAAAGGAGGCATCATCATCATCACACAGGGGTAGCTCGAATGTAATAATAACACTCTACCGCAGCCTCAGTAGTCCTACCCTACGCCGACAGATACATCATCACCATCGCCGCCGCCACCGCCCTAGGTCTTCAATTCATCGTAATAGTCATATTTTAAGGTAGTCCAGCAAAGCTCGTGACACCGTAGTTACTGGAACGCCTATAGCTCAGATTATCAATGCCTCCCAGTGCCTGTAATGATCCGAGAGTTAGGAAGTATCTAACAAGTCAACTCCACACTAATGGAACGCACTCCTTCCTTGATGACTGGTTACATGGTATTACCGATCAGCAACGTCAGGAGATAATGGATGCCATCTTGTCACGACGACACCGACACCACGGGGAGAATCTGAAGCATGTTACCTCCTGCTCCCCATTATCGAGTTCATGTTCACGTTGTTCACAGTATTGTTATGTTCACACCTCCGCACAGTACATATCGACGTCGATACGTCGATTGCCATATAGGATTCATTACCCTCCTACCATCGTATAATGGCTAGAGTCCGTCGTGGTCATCGTCGTTGTTATCGTTGCACGAACAGGAGTCGAAGACCTCGACTCGAGGTACTGTTGTGTCTAAGCTCTCCAGTGAGACATACCCAGATAGCTCAAGAGAAGCAGTCGATACATCAGCAAGTGCTCATACGATAACGAAGATTAATTTTGAAGTGTTATCAACTAATCGTACTTGGAGGTTCAGGAGTCCAATCAGCCTTCATGCAGAGGCTGAGACACGCCCTTGCTCTACTTCACCATCTATAGGAGACCGTCAACGTGTCCGTACAAGGAGCGACCTAACTGAGGCCAATGATCATAGTGATGTTGACCATGCCATTGTTGATGACAGTCAGAGAAGGCAGGCAATGGTACTCATGAGTGTATACCTTGACGGCTGTATGAATGAGGTGTATGTCAGAATGTTTCCCAGGTGTAGTACTAGTCGCAGATGATACCATGATACGGTTGGGGCAGCAGCCACTTGGCAAACACCCTAGGCTCATGAGTGACTCGCCCCTATCCGACCCCATTCTCACGTCCTCTTCTACGCTCTTACACAATCATAATCATGAGTCTATCTGGCGGAGTGGCACTTAGGTAGATAGTTCCAGTGGAGTACATCATTAGAAGCAGTGGCAGTGATGTCCATTACAGGTCCGGTCTCCACATCCCTTCAATGGACCACCAGCAGATGTGAAAGACGTCTGCCCATCATGCAGAGGAGAGCGGCTCGATATTGAGGAGGCTACTAGTCATTCCATAGGAGGGGACGATGGCAAGCTCATGACGCAAGGGAGCCCGTTGCCGAACGAGGATTCAAAAGTGGCAGCTACACCGTGATGAGACCGGCTTGGCCTGTCGTCTTCCAGCTCCTCGAGTATTCGAGTCATCATCAGATGGATGCTTGATGATGGAAAGAAACGCCGGTATAGCAGGATGGTGGAAATCCATCGTCTGGGAGGTTAGTTGCTGGTAACCAGCTATTGTAGGGATGTATTGTCACAGGTAGAGCTGCATTATGATTGTGGGAGTGGTAAAGTATGGGGCAAGTGGGGCCCAGTGCAGGCCTTGACAGCTTATCTCGGTGGTAAGGGACATATCGAGGACATCTACAGAAGCGTACCTCCCCACAGGTGATCGGCTCGTGAATGGTATGCTCGAGTTGGGGAGTATCCGACTCAGTGATGCAGTGGTTGATCTCCAAGGTGGCATCATACGTTGGGGAACGGTAGAGCTATGGCCATCATACTATCATCTAAGTATTCTGGCTTAGGAATGGACAAGGCTCACCACGGCATGATGAGTATAAAGGAAGAATTGAAGCTCTCTTCTTCGTCCATGATAATGAGTCTCGAGATCCAGGATTCACAACCCAGAGAGGCGAACCTACTGTTGCGTAGAGTTTATTCAAGCCGCTGTATGCACATACTGGGTGTTGTTGGTGCCCAGTTCACGTACATAGGTGAAAGGTTCTCATTGAGAGCAGAAGGCAATAGTGGTATAACCCGAAACCCTCGAACGGTACTGCTACGTTCAACGCGATAGCGAGAGATCCAGTGGTATAGAACAGTATTAATAATTGTCGTCTTCCCTAACATCTCTGAGCACAATATAGACGAAGAGTTCTGTATGAGAGGCATGTGGGTTGACAACCAACAACCGTCGGATACTCGGAAATTGAGCAGCGCTAGCGTGGGGGACTGTAGCTCATCATCTCGGGCGTCGGTGATGAGGCATAAACTTGGGGAGGGGGAAGATCAGTGTTGACGTCCACATGTGATGGCTTAGATGCCGGGTTACTGCAACTTCAGGGTGAGTGAACTCGACAGGTGATGATGATAATAGTAAACGAATATACACCTCGCGAAGCACCACTATCACTCACGACTAACTTTGCCCTGGCCTCCCCTCCACCCTCTCCATCGCCACCTCGGCTGTATTTCGTGTTAGGGGGACCCAAATATGTAACCAATACGGCGTTTCTGTCGATGGTATTCCCACGAGGTTGGGCAGGGCAGACCTCCTGTGGTTCTTCTGGTCGTCCTTCGGTCTATGCCTTGAGTCCCTAACGAATACACCCCTCTGAGGCTAACAACACCGTCTGACATCGTCAGACTAACATCATCGGGGCCCTAGACATGGATCTGTTGATGATAATCTCAGTGTCGTACTCCAGGCTGTTGAAGTGAGGGGTAGCCTACTGTAGAGTCTACAGCGAGTACGTTATTGCTGTTCCTGATGTCTATCGATGGAAGAGAAGTCGACTCTGTAGTTGGCATGGATTATAATATGGATGATGAACACTGGCATATTGAGTTGATGCCTTCTCACGGACGAACGCAATGACGACTGCAATCTGTTCGGATGGTCTACAGTGATATACTACAGTTGTAATCAGAATATTAATGGTGGCTATCGATAATAACAATGATACATAAACCTATTCTCATAGTGATAATAATGATAAAGCAACATATATAGACGATACTGGTCAGAAGTACCCTCCAGAGTAGGTACTCTGTGAGGGGATGCCCCCAAGGGTCTAAAAGTAGCCAAACAAGGGCCACAGCAGCAGCAGACAATCAACAAGCAGTGACGCACTATTACAGTAATTATGTCAATACCAGAAAATGAGGCTATAGTGATAGAACGAGAGTAGTGACACTGAGGTGATGGGGATCATCGGCGAGGGCCGGTGGTGGCAGAGGGAGGTCCAGTAACGACAGTAGTACGGAAAGCATTCGCAGCATTATTAGATGCTGCATACTCAGCACTCAGCTTGGCAAAGGCCTCCTTAGCACGATCATGGTCACACTTATCAGGGTGGCATAATAACGCTGCTCGACGATAAAGCTGAAGACAGGAAGGCTGTAAGGCTGTAGGGGAATACTCCATCTATATTACCTTATCTTTATCCACTTCTGTCTGCCCAGGCTGAGGTTGTATATCTAATAGACTCCGTAATAGAGGCCATAAGCCTAATTCATCAGGGCATTCTACAATACCCAAAACGACTTGTTCACGTGTGCTAGGCACCTTTGACTTCAAACGAGTAACCAATTGATTGATCTTAGCAGTAGCCTCCAGTGTTTGATAGGAAGGGGATACCCCCTTATGTAGAGATGCTTGATATTCCATCTTAGCAGCCTTCAATGCAGCTGCCTGTCTCTCTCGTGGAGTCAAGCCAGCCATGGGATCCATTGATGATGCTTTACCTCGACAAGTGCTACTAGTAGTAGTACTACCCACCTTACCACGGAATAGACCAGACCTTAGAGGAGGTGGTGCCTTAGCAAGCCGGCACTGAGGGCATGACAAGGGCATATCATAGGGAGCTGATACATTCTGTATTTGAGTGAACTTATGACCATATCGGCAACCATAACGTAAGGAGATCGTCCTGGCATCAGGAGGTACATCGAGGGCTGTCGTAAGCAACTTGAGGTTATTCTCTCGAGCCCTTGTAGCATGAGGCTCTAACAATGCTGCACACACTGGACAACGACATTGATCATCATTATCACCACGACCATTACGCCGATGATGCTTGAATGAGCCCTCATGACTACTACACTCGTCGCCAGTATTAGATGACCTCTGCCTATGATTAGTATCATCACTACCATCATCAACCCATTTATGTTTAACCGGGCACTCCTTAGTATGAACAGAGGCATGGCTACTGTTGATACGTTTATCTGCTAGATGGCCTTTAGGGGCGTACCGAGGGGCAAAGCTCTTACTACTACATCTGTCAATACCATGCTTTGTTTGACTAGAACCCGTATGATGACGACGATGTTGATGTAATGATGATGATGATGACCTTGTCGGGAGAGGTGGTCCCCCCCGCAAGCCTTGAGCACCGAATCGAGTAGATTGGACCAGGTTGATAGGCGCCGGCCGAGGGACTTTACGACTGGAAGCAGCCTTATCTGACGCTGATGCTGCTACGGTCGTATGCGAACGTCGCCTCTTCAAGGGTATTGAGTTGTTGTTGTTGTTGACGGTATCCCTCCCAAGTTTGGTAACCACCGTTGAGCCTCTACCATCTCCTCTACCATTCATACCTCGTTGGGCATCCTGACGATGATGAGTAGTGTTATCATTCGATCGGCATGGAGAAGAGGCCGAAGATGTATGTCTCTGAGGTTCTACGTCAAGCCTCCATAGAATACCATTGCTGCCTATATCAGGACCCGGTGGCCGCCATCGAGTAGGGGTAGTTGGGGGTAGATGCAAGTCAGCACTCCACCGGAATGCTGGTAGCTGCTTTTGTGGTGGTCGAGAGTGACCAAGTGGTGAGGAATTAGGTCGGACGGAGGAGGATGGCATTGGAGAGGTAGTAGGACCAGTCGTGGCTGCTCTAGCCATGAACAATGTCGAAGGGGCCGACTGCTGCTGATGCTGCTGATGCTGCTGATGCTGCTGTCCCTGCATTGGGTGCATGTAATAAACTGAAGACGGATAGAGGATAGTGATGTAACGAAAGGCAACAATGGAGAGATGATAAGTTCAAAGAGGAGTGGTAGCATGTCCAAATACACACATGATGACAATGATGCTATCCGTCTTGCTCCACTACGTTCTCTATAAGGGCTCCTGGAGGATTGGATGGTGATGGACACTAATGATGCATACCTTCGTCCTCCTCTTTCAACTCCACATTTCCCCCTTGCACTACCACATCAGCATCATCGACACATTGGGACCCCAGGACGCTGTTGACGTGATTCCCGTCATAATGCTGCGATGTGTTGCTGGTAACATGCTCATAATCATCATCATGGTGGTGGTGTTGGCTGCGGGAACCCTTAAGGTAGTTAGCAATCCAGACTAATGGATCGAAGGCATCGACCGGTCGTCGCTCCTCCCCGTCTACAACCGTCTTCCCTCCATCATCAACTGATGACATAACAGAATGATGATGAGGAGAATCAGGTAGCCCCAACATACTCCCATGCCCTCTGTTACTACTACGACGAGCCACCGAGGCGGCATCTAGTCTCCCATCACTGGGACGCTTAAGGGAAGGTTTCTTCTGCGTGAGGCTGCGTCTAGCACTACGCTCTGTATGCTGAGTGGGATGTCGTTGGCATATAGCTAATACATATACTACCTTCCTGCTCAACCAATAGGCCAAATGCCCATTATCTTTTACCTCTTCAAGTAGTGCCTCGATCGCTGGCAACAACGATGGTATCAATGCCTCTCTAGCATACCTATAGGACATCATTGCACACTCTTACATAGGCATATCCCTACTTTCTGGCCTCTATATTATTATCAACTACTGGTGGATGATATGGCGATGCATTAGTAGTATCAAGCTGGATATAAGCCGCAGAGTCCATTGGTACAGCGGTGATAATGCAGGATACCCTACGAGGAGGTATTGAGGGGCGGCTGCCTCACGTGAGAACAAAACATATCCCCAAGGGTAGTGATATGGTTATGATTGGTATTCAGCAGATAGTGTAACTATTGAGGATTGGCATGAGTAGCATTATGGGCCATTAGAAGGTAATGATGCTTCCCTTATTATCAGTATCTTATTAAAGACTTCACCCTTAAGGAAGTCCAGGTCTGTAGCAACCCTTGTTCCGGCCAGTCGTGACTAGCATATGATTAACTACCGTTTACCTCCACTCTTTTTGCATTACTCTCCTCATCTTCTCCAACAACAGCTAGTAAGACTACCATTTGATCACCCTCACACACTCATTGAGCGAATGGAGTTACTCTAACTGATGTCTTCTATCCAGGCCTGTATTCACATTGCATAAGCAATGATGTCAACGGAGAACCCATAGTATGCTGCGTACACTGAAGACATGAGTAACCATAACAAGATAAGGAGCCGATGTCAAAGCCGCGCTAGTACCTTGTACTCCATATAAACATTAGCAGCAACCGCCCTAATGGTCCTAGACGATTCGTCATTCAATGAGGCCCTTCCCGCTGCTACCATCATACCATCATCAGTGGCTAGTCTGGTGTTATGGTATTACAGCATCGATAAGGATAGTATAGCACTACTACAAGCCATTCCTCTCCTCGTGGTCTGCCTCCTTAACGAGAGTACGTCCCAGGGCATATGAAAGCTCTCTCGGGCGGAACATTAACAGAAGGGAGAGACAAAAAACTACAAGTGGAACATGTGGGTAGCTCACACTGTCATCATGAAGGAGAAGTTAGTCGATTGGGATGAACATAACAAGCTGACGAAACAGCGTTGAGGATAGGGTGTGGAATTACTGGTGATAGAAGCATTCTGTACAGAGGCGAGATAGGAGGTAATCAACGTGTCTTTTGCAACGAAGGCCACAATCTCCCTACTCCCTATTGGCTCATGGCACAAACTCTATCAAGAAGATCAGATCCTTCCATGAGTGGTAGAGATTCTCGTTATACGCATCAAGTGAAACCTTCATGACGACACAGATGAGGTCATCGTCGAAGTCATCCCGTCAGTGGTCGACTTGTATGGTATAGTTTGCCATCTCCTCACTATCGTATGCATCTTGGCCCATGGTTTCAACATCAAGAGTATGACGACAGCAGAGCGATCGTCAGGACCGTTTTCCCCCTCTCTCAACCTTACCCAATTAACACCTACCATGTATAGCCTACTGATCTATATCCGCTACTGTGTTGTAATACATTAGTCCCTGATACACCCACCACCACCTCGAGGTCTAAAACGACCACTCTCTTCTCGAAAGCATCCTCACAATGGTACTTTGTTTCAACTCTGTCTACAGCACCTCATCCCCACACCAACAATACTAATGCCGATGACGTCTAACTACCCTTGTAGTGTCTCCCCTACACTAAACCATAATACAAACACAACAGTACACTCCAATCCTCTACCGGTATCAAACGCTCTTATATCCCGATACACGCGATATCGAATATTGCGACTCCAATTTACTCCTCATCCTCCGACTCGCTCTCGACGGTGGGCTGATAAGCGGCAGTAAGCTCCTTGTAGAAGGTCTTACCGACATTAGCGCTCTTCTTGGCCTGCTCAGCACGGGCACGGATAGCAGCAACCTTCTGAGCATGAGCCTGAGTACCCTCCTGCTGGGCCTGAGCACGCAGCTTAGCACGATGAAGAGCACCAGGGTTGAGCTTAGCCATCATCTGGCGGTTCTTAAGGGCATTCTTCTTCTGGCCAACACGGCGAGCAGGAGCAAGAGCAGGACGGCAGACAGCCTGAACCTCCTCAGAGTTGATGATCTTAGCCACATCAGCATTGGTCATCAAAGGCCTAGGAAGCCTGTAACCAGACTTCAAAGCAGCACCGGACCTGTAGGAACCGAAGAGCTGCTGAAGACGGTCGAAGGCGGGCTGAGTCCAGATAATGAATCTGCCGAAAGTGCCACCAGGAGCGACCTGCAAGAGGTTGAGACGATCAACCTGGCAGAGCTCGATACCGGGGATGTTACGGAAGGCCTTGGTAAGACCATCATCCTCGGCATAGACGACAAGAGGACCACGACGCATGACGTAACGACGATTACGCATCTTACCGGCACCAGCACGGATCTTCTTAGAATCTTTAACCCTCTGGAGGTCGGCACCTGCACCAAGGGCCTCAAGGACGGCAACGGCATCCTTAGTCTTCTGAACAGACTCAACACCCTGAGAGAGGACGAGAGGAAGCTCAGGTACCTCACCAATGCGATGACCACGGGCCATGACAAGAGGGGGCAAGGCAGACGCGGCAATGGCAGAGGCCATGGCATGACGCTTCTCAGTCAGGTTAGACTTGCGATGCCAGCGTCTCCAGGTCTTAAGAGGAGCGAACATTCCACCACCACGGCACATGTTACCGAAGGCACCCTGACCCGAACGGTGAGTACCACCACCAGGGACACGAGGGATACGAGACACGGCACGACCGGTACCCCAGGAGGCAGCAGCGGTCTCATAACCAGCCTCAAACTTAACACCACGAGCCTGACGCTTGTTCTTGGCCATAGCGGAGTGGACAGACCTCACTAGGTCGGGCCTAAGAGGGGCCTGGAAGACGGTAGGAGCACAGGTAGTGCTGGATGACGATCCAGAGAGATCGTATACTGATACGACGGGCCGAGCTGTGGACATCGTGTAGAGGTCTTATTACCTTGAAAGAAACTCACAATGCTACAGCCGACAATCGATAAGCTATGGGCGAGCGCTTTTATGTCGCGCGCATGATACCACATCCCGTACCTCTATCATTAACATGGGTGGTAAATCAGCAGTTGATTATGTTTATGATTGTTTTCAGAAAAGGAGTGTGCAAAACACAATAGAGCATCAGTAGTAGCAGCAACGTCGCAGGTTTTAGAGGTCTCTGGATCGCGGCCTAGCCTTATGAATGGACATGATGATGTTACACCAAAACTGACAGTAGTTATACCATTATCATGGATACTCGGTATAGTTGGTGTAGGAGAATAGGGGGAGGACTAGATCATCATCAGCTAGGGTCGGGAAAGCATCACCGAAAAGGAGGAGGCATGGACAGGACAAGGTGACTCCTACCACTAGTATTAAGTAGGACATAAACATGTGATAGGTAGTACTAGCTTCACACTATAATAACATATGGCATATGATAAGGAGGATTAATGATGATGACAGATATCGGCATCGGTCAAGATGTACCGACAAAAAGCCAGTAGTACTCACTGTCAATGAGATATTGTCATTTACTCCAACCAGACTACTACCACTCACCAACCTTTGAGAGCATCGCCCAAGCCTAATTCTCCAGTCTCCAGAGTATCATCACATCACAGTAATGCTACATGGTGGAGGTGCTTGTTGAGTACTTCCTCAGCTGAGCCAAGGCAGAGCCCTGAGCGGTGGAATGGGACGTTTATAACAGATCGATTGATGGAGTTGAAGAGTAGGATAATGAAGCAGATAATCGATAATAATCTATCTGCCCATGAGCACGCCTTGATCGTCTTACTACGAAGGATAAGATCCAAGATAATGGTAATGTTTTGGTATTATCGCTACTAGATAGAGACCCCATTCTTCAGTTCAATTACTCTATGCATACCTCGGATGACTCTTTGATGAATGAGGATAGTATTGATGCCCTCTTCCATGAGCTTGAGGATGACCTAGAGCTACCAATAGGCTCTACTAGCCCTATATCCTATGCAAAACGAGCAGTGAAGTATAGTAGCACCTCAAGTGATCGTGTAGTACTTGACGAGTAAGTCTCTATCATAGCCGGTTCATCCCCAATGTGCTTCTAGGCATACTCGATGTTATGCCCCAGTCATAGCTGCTGTAGAGGCGTTGCATGCTCGTCATGAATGTAAGTATGGCAGATCTAAGAGTATAGTATGTTGCACTAGGTTATAATAACCAGGGACGGATGGCGGAATCACCCTCGACTGCATACCGGTATGCTCATGGCAGCGAGGAAACTACTATACCTGAGGGTATTGTCTCGACAGTGATAATATAATAGCTTATCATCGCAATCAGCAGCTGCCCATGTTCTGGATACTCCTACTACTCATGCATCATTATCCATCATTACTTGTATGTCGTGTGTATAGTTATTGTCATAGGCGGCTTTCTTCTCGTCATTCTCCTCATCTTCGTCTAGTAGTCTTCTGGTGAAAGGTGCTGGTGGGACTAGAGCACAAGGAGGCTCTCCCATGCCTCCTACAGCAGCCTTGCAGTCCAGGATGTGATACCAGCTCACAGAGAGTAGTAGAAATAGTAGAAAGGGTAATAGGGTACTACTACTACTAGTAGTATCGTTAATATCGTCGTATCGAGGAGTATTGTTATTGAACTGCGTTTTGAACTGGTCCTGCTGGCTAAGACTGGAAGAGCTAACAATCTATCTTCCATCTGACTCATGTTCATGAGGCTCAGAGGTGCAACTGTAAGGGAATATGTTACAAAGTAGAGTATGCATACTTAGCACCTGCATACAACCTTGTCTTACAGTACTAATATGATAGCTGGGGTATTGGCACATAATATAAGGGGCTGTATTGCAGTAATACCTACTTACTCGCTGATCATCATCATTACTGCCTATTTCGCTCCACCTTTGTCATTTCCTACGGTCTCGTTATTATTGTCCTGTTAATGACGTTTTCTACATCAACAATCTACTAACCATAACGATAGAGTAATGGTGTTGTTACAAATGTTACTTCTAAGCCAACTCTTTGATCAGTGTATTATGAGGTAAATGACCGTGCATTTGCGGCACAGAGAGATCCATGAGAAGACACCAATCGAGCTGTTCATGTCAGCAGCCCAGGCATCAGGAGTAGTAGCCATAACTGCAGCTGCAGCACATGCCGTGATGGAGCCAGTAATGGCTGGCAGTGGTAGGAAAGTAGTCTTTATATCTTGCCACATGACGCTTGTACTCGATTCAGTGTCACGGGCAGTATCACGGACATTCCCGATCGTCTGGATCATATCGATTCCAGTCTTCTACCTCAATCGTCGTAGTGCTTGTAGGAGAGAGGCGGCAATGGAGAGGCTCAAAGATTCGGCTGAATCTTTTAACCTCATGAATGTTGAATCATTAGCTCCAAAGCTCGATGGTAGTCTCTGTGCGTTTCTTTACCCCAACGTGAAACAGATTCCCAGTCAACCATATCATCTAGTGCCCATATTCTGTCAGTACGAGAATTCGACGAAGCCACGGGGGTGGATGCGGAAAAGGAAGCAGCAAGGTTACTCCGGCGCGGTATGAGGATGCTGGAGGCCGAAGACGTAAAAGGGCAGTATCATCTACCCACAGTCTATATCATATTTTTGCCAGGCTGCCGAGAGGAAACGCTTTAAACTGTGGTATTAATTGGTGATGTCATGGAGTTTCAGAAAGTCACACGAGGTCTTGGAGTTGGTGGTTATTCATCAATGCGATTCCCGCTTCATTCGTACAGTGCCGTTTGGTACAGTTACGAGACGTAAAATACAAATTGATATAATTTGAATTCGTATTGGGGTGTTTACAACAGTTCCAAATCGTTCAAGATTGATTCGTACACTTTCATATCATATAAATTTCTACGGAGTGTTCTTATATAGCCCAAGAGTATGAGCACTGAGGGAGGTACTCAAATCGGAGAGC